ATTTTTTTTAAAAGAGCTCTCAAGTATATTAGGAATAGAAGGGAACTTCCTCAATCTAAGAAAAACTTACAGCTAATATCATACTTAATAGTGAGCTACTGAATTTTTTCTAAGTCCAGAAACAAGGCAATGATGTCTGCTCTCTACTGCTCTCACTCAACACTGTATAGGAGGATCTAGCCAGTGCAATTAGGCAAGGGGAGAAAAAAGTCATCCAGATTGGAAAGGAAGAAACAAATATGCTTTTATTCACACATTATATAAATGCTTATGGTCGGATGAAACTTTAGGGGGAAAAAACCCTACTAGAACTAATAATTAAGTTTAGCAATTTTGCAGTATATTGTTATTAGCTGAATGTTTGTATTCCCACAAAATTCATGTGTTGAATCCCTAACCCCCACATGAGACTGTATTTGAAGATAGGGTTTGTGAGAGAATGATAAAGGTTAAATGAGTTCTTAAGGATGAGGCCCTAAAATGAGAGAGCTTGTACCCTTATAAGAAGAGGAAGAAACTCCAGAGCTATCTCCTTCTTCATGCAAATAGAGAAAAAGCCATGTGAAGTCATAGTAAGAAGGTGGCCATCTACAAGTCAGGAAGAGAGCCTCATCAGGAACTGAACAGACTAACACCTTGGTCTTGGACTTCCCAGGCTCCAGAACTGTGAGAAAGTAAATTTTTATTGTTTAAGCTACCTGGTCTATGGTATTGTTCTGGCAGCCCAAGAAGACTAATATAATCATCAATATAAAATAAAATTGTATTTCTATAAGCTAGCAATGAATAGTCAGAAATTAAAATTAAGAATACCATTTACAGTAGCATAAAAAACATGAAATACTGACATCAGGTGGGGATAATGACCTATACAGTGGAAACTACAAAATATTTCTGAGAAAAATTAAAGACCTAAATAAATGAATAGATACCTTGTTTTTGGGTTGGAAGTCTCACTGTTATGATGTTAATTATCCCCAAATTAATCTTATACATTCAGTACAATTGTAATCAAAATTCCATCAGGTTTTATTTTGCTAGAAATTGACAAGCTGATTCTAAAATTCATACAGAAATGCATAGGGCCTAGAATAGCCAAAACAATTGAAAACAAAGAACAAAGTTAGAGGGCTAACACTATCTGATTTCAATAATTATTATAGTGTCACATTATTCAATACTATGTGATACTGGCATTAAGATAGACAAACAGGTCAATGGAATATTATAGAGAATCTGGACACAAACTCATACATATATATGGATAACTGTTTTTCAACAAAGGTGCAAAGGCAATGCAGTGAAGAAAGATAGTCTTTTGACAAATAGTGCTAGAATAATTGAATGTCCATATGCAAAAAAAAAAAAAAAAGAACTTAAACCCACACCTCACATCATATACAAAAATTAACTTACAGGCATAAGTGCAAAACAACTATGAAGCTTCTAAAAGAAAACATACGAGAAAAATCTTTATGACCTTGGGTTAGGCAAAGATTTCTTAGATATAACAATAAAGGCACCCCCATTAAAAAAAAAAGGAAAAATTGACAAGTTGGACTTCATCAAAGTTAAAACTTATGTTCTTCAAATGACACTGTTTCACAAGAAACTACATATTGTGTGATTCCATTTATATGACATGCCCAGAAAAGGCAACTCTAGAGACTGAAAGTAGATTAGTATTTGCCTGGGGCTGGGGGTAAGCACCAGACTTAACTGTAAATGGACATGATGGATCTTATTGAGGGGATGAAAATGTTCTAAAACTGACATATGGTGACAATTACACTACTTTGTAAATTTACCAAAAATCATTGAATTGTATGCTTGAAATGGGTGAATTTTATGATACGTAAAGTATACCACAAAAAGTTGTTTTTTTCATTTTTTTAAGAAGATGAGTGGATGAAAAGATAAGGTATAGACTGGGAGAATATCTTTCAAAGTATGAATCTGGTAAAGGATTTGCACCCAGAATATATAAATCACCAAAGAAGATACATAGATGGCAAATAGCACATGAAAAAGTGACCAATATCATCATTAGGGAAATGCAAATTAAACCACAATAAGTTATCACTTCACACCTATTAAAATGGTTAAGAGTAAAAAGATTGACCATACTAAGTGTCCAATATAGAGGCAACTCTCAAACACTGCTGGTGGAAATGTAAAATAAATAATGCAACCAGTTTGAAAAAGTTTGTCAATTTCTACTCTTAGGTATTCACCAAAGAGAAAAGGAAATATACATCCATACTGTTAAAAAATTATTCTGATACTTAAAATTATAGGGAAGACTTTATTGGAGACTACTGCAATTGCAATAGGGGACAGAGATCAGGCTCAACTCCAAATATATACAACAAAGACAGCTCGGTATTTATTGCCAACGAGCCGAGTGAGGGCCTCATGGTTAGGAAATCACTTAGAAGAGACATCAAGGGTAATAAGGTTCTTGCTAAACTGAGCTGTGATATTGTGATTTATAATAAGAAATACATATATTTGGTCTTCCTGTTTCTGGCACAGACCTCCTAAATCCCTTGGAATTTCCTAAGTGATGAGAGCAACTAAGATGTCTTTTCTTATGTTAATGAGATGACTTTTGGACTGAACCTAAGGAAGGGGGCTGGTTGCCAGGGGAACCAACCAGGTGATTAGAGAACTTTTAAGCCCACCTTATAACCTCCTGGTAGAGGAGAGGGACTGGAGGTTGAATCAATCACCAGTGGCCAATGATTTAATCAATCATGCCTCCATAAAAACTCAAAGGACAGGGTTCGGAGAGCTTCTGGGTTGGTGAACAAGAGGAAATCTGAGGAGAGTGGTGTGCTGGGAGAAAGCATGGAAGCTCTGTGCCCTTGCCCCATAACTTGCCCTGTGCATCTCTTCTAGCTGGCTGTTCCTGAATTATATTCTTTCATGATAAACTCATGATCTAGTAGTAAAATGTTTCTCTGAGTTCTGTGAGCTGCTCTAGCAAATGAATCAAACCCAAGGAGGAGGTTATGAGAATCTCTGATTTATAGCCAGCTGGTCAGAAGCACAGATAACAATCTGGGCTTGCGATTGTCATCCAAAGTAGAGGGTGGTCTTGCAGGACCGAGCCTTTTACCTGTGAAATTTGATGCTGCCTTCGAGCAGATAGTGTCAAAATAGAGTTGAATTCGTGGACACCCAGCTGGGGTCTGGAGCATTGTTTGTTGGAGGTGTGGGGAACCCCTACACACACACACACACACACACACACACACACACACACACACACACACACACACACACACACTGAAATTGCGTCCAGGAATCCAATTAGACCTAATAGGCCAGGAAGCTAAAGGCAGGCCAGGGTGATCAGATATCAGGGGTGGGGGATTCCCTAACTGACTTAGCACAATTTTGGCTAAAACTGTATCCAACAAGGATGGACACAAAAGCCCAAAGTCAAGGCCTAGTTTGACAAAAGGACAAAAAGGAGCCTAACTAAAGCTTGATCAAGGAGTCTTTGCCAATACAAATACTTGTTCATGAATGTTCCTAGCAGCTAAACAACCCAAATGCCCATAAACAGGTAAATGGATAAATAAATTTTGGTATGCCATACAAAGGAATACTACTTAGCAATAAAAAGGAACAAACTATTGATACACTCAACATGGATGAATCTCAAAATAATTATGCGGAGTGAAAGCCAGACCAAAAAAGTCTTCCTCTCTTCCTTTCTCTCTCTCCCGCTCCCCCACCCCACCTCTCTCTACTCAACAACTCCAAAACTCTAAACAATGTAAACCATTCTATAATGACAGTAACTAGATCTGTAGTTGCTGAGGGGCAGGGGCAGGAAAGGAAGAAATTATACAACGTACCAGGGAACTTGGGGTGATGATATTTTCACTATCTTGATTGTGGTGGCAGTTTCACAGGTACATGCATATGCGTATGTGAAAACTTTCAAATTGTACATTTTAAATATGTGCCATTCACTGCATGGCAACCATACCTCATTAAAGATTCTTTTTTAAAAAGTACTAATTTCCAGTTTCAACTGGGCTCTCAACAATGTGCTAATAATCTTGGGTTTTCCTAGTTCTTCCATCCCATCAAACTCCTATTTCAAACTACTCTATTTTTATTTTCCTTAAGCCTTTTATCCAACATCCCCTCACCCTGCACCCCACCTTCCCAAAAGATAATCCCTCTAATATTCTCTAGTCACAGCCTTTTACAATCTGTTCTCCACCTCTGGAGCCAGAATAAACTTTATACAAGAATGTCTGATATCATCTCCCGTTTAGAATCCTTTATTGGCTCCCCCCAGGAAAAAAATCCAAAATCTTTAATATGGATTACAAGACCCTTTACTCTCTTGGCCTCTGTTTATCTTTACAACCTCATCTCCTGCTTTTTCCTCACCACCCGGATGCCCAGCCTCACCCCACGCTCACACTGAAAAGGTCTAGCTACACTGAACCACTACACATTCCTAAAGTTCTATCTCTAGTTCCTTTTCTCTTTGCCTCTTTCCTGTCTTCCTGTCTTTCTTTCTGTATCTCTGCTCCGACTCTCCTTCTTCCTGGCCCTTTCTCTCTCCCCCTCTCTTTTTCTGTTCTGTTTTTCTGCTCATCCCCTCTCTCTGTTCCTACCCCCACTCCCATGGCTCTTTATGTCGTCTTCATTAACAGAGCATAGCACTTCCATATGACACAATGAGGCTGGTGACCACAGTTTACATATACAGACAAAAACTGAGTTTTGGATTAAAGTAGGATAATACTGTTACCTCTAGTTGTTTAATATCCACGAGTCCTCATGATGCAAAATGTGTTCGCTGTGACCACCCAGTATCCTTTATTAGGAATTGTAACTGACAGCTGACTCCACATGTACATGTTAGCCTTAAACTGAGTTACAGATTTTTAAAAGAATCTCAAATACAAAGTATCTAATATAATAGTAATTATTTCTTTTCATAATTGAAGGAAAATTGAAACTACTACCTCATTTGAAGAATTTTCTTGCAAACTTGACACAGGAACAATTTCATCTGAATTAACATAGTTGCTGACATTAGGAAACAGTTCCTCAAAAGATGCTTTTCTCACTGAGGACAGATCAATCTATAAAAGAATATATTACCCTTTTGTAGAAGTTAAATGTTGCAAAAACAATTATTTTTATGTAACTAAAGGAAGTTGAAGTATACTATCTTATTAGAGGCATTTTCATTTGAACTTGACATATGAACAATTTTATCTGAATTAATATAATTACTGACATTTGAAAATAGTTTCTTCAAAAGATGCATGTTTAGCTGGGAACAAATCAATCTATAGAGAAGATTATACTATGCTTTAGCTTTAAAGTTATTATTTAAATAAGTGTTTTTATTAGCTATAGCATCATGTATTTTTTCCTATTCATTCATCCAATTAATATTTATCAAGTGCCTCATAGATGAAATTCATCTACCCAGCAACCACACACCTCCTCAAATAATTTTCCCTGCTTTTCTCTTAAATGTCAGCCTTCCCCAGTGTTCTGTCCTTGCCTCTTCTTGCCTACCAACTGAACACTAGAGATTTACAAATCTCAATCTCTAATACAGAACTCTTTCTTGAGCACCATATCTATACTGCTATCAGGTTACTGAAATCACCACATATTTCTACATCAAATTAAAAATATTTAAAATCAGATGCGGGCCAGCCGAGTGGCTCAGTTGGTTAAGAGCTTGCTCAAGGGTGTGAGTCCTGACTAACAGGGTCGCTGGTTCGAGTCCCACATGGGCCAGTGAGCTGTGCCAGAGCTGAGCTGCCGCTGAGCTGCCAACAGGTGGCAGGATGCCTCCGCTGGTGAGAGCACATGCTGCTAACAACAAGGTTGCCTGTTCAAGATGGTAGGCTATGCCTGCCTGCAACTATAGACTGAACTCAGCACCTTGAGCTGAGCTGCCGCCCGGGTGGCTCAGGGGATAGAGCGCGCGCTCTTAACAAAGAGGCTGCTGGTTCAACTCCCACATGGGATGGTGGCTACACCCATACACAACTAATTGAACACAGCACCTTGAGCTGAATGGCGCAACTGGACTTGGAGTTGAGCTTAATGTGCCCTTCACAACTAAGACTGAAGGACAACGATTTGGCTGTTCCCCTTCCCCAATTCCTCAACACTGTTCCCCTCTCCCAATTCCCCAACACTGTTCCACTCCCCCAATTCCCCAATAAAATCTTAGGGAAAAAAAATCAGATGCATGATCCATGCTCTTCATGTTGGGACTCCAAAAAGCTTTGCCATATTGACCAGCTAGCACTGGCTAGGGTAACCTGGTGTGATGCTAGGCTAGGCCAGAATGCATATCAGGGGCATGTGTGGGAAGTGGGGGGTTAAAGGGTTCAAAAGGAGACTCTCCAAATGTGCCACTTTGGGATTATTTTGAGCCGAAGGCAATCAAGACCAAGGAGACTCAAGAAAACATTTACCTCTTCCTTAATCACCAAAGAGAATTTATATAGGGAGAGCATTTGAGATGTTACTACCTGGCATATGTCAGTTAGTTTGGCTCAAATAAACTTTTTTTTTCTTTTTTTTAAAAGATTTTATCGGGGAACTGGGGGAGGGGAACAGCGTTGGGGAATTGGGGAAGGAGAACAAACAAGCTGCCATCCTTTTGTTCTTCAGTCTAGTTGTGGGGGACGTCGCTTCACTGGCCCAAGTTGGTATTATCATCGAGCTCTCCCGGGTGAGGCAGTCACTCTCCGGCCATTGGATGGCCGCTCACAGCGGCTCTTGGCAGCTCACAACGGCTGCCGGCCGCTCACGGTAGCTTACAGGAGCCCACTGCAGCCCCACTGCAGCCTACGCCCTCGGGGGCGACTCACAGCAGCCCAGCTCCAGGTTCAAGCTGTTGTTCACCATCTTAGCTGTAGAGGGCGCAGTGTCACTGGCCCTAATGTGGGATCCAAACTGGGGCCCTGCCGCTCAGAGCTGGTATCCCAAGCCAACTCTTAACTAATGCGCCACTCGGCCGCCCCTCAAATAAACTCTTAATAAAAGTTCTCTACAGGTTTGGATATTTCTTATGTCAACATTTACTTGGCGTAGTTGAGCAGGATTCTGAAGAAGCCCACCCCAGACCACCCTTCGGACCTGGAGCCCATGCTAGGTACAAGCAAGGGCCCATCATGCCCTCCTGGCTCGCCACTTCGCATTGTGTGAACTTTCCTGAGTCTTCCCTTGGAATTCCAGGTTTTCTAGCTTTAAGTAACAGGTCATGACTTATCTGAGCTGTTCTTAGAAAATCCTTGAGGTAAATAAGGGTTGAGATAAACGGGGGTGGCTCACAGGCTGCTGCTTTAATTTCAGCTTTTTTTATTCGATTGCTTACTGGGAGTCTGAACAAAATCTTTAGTGGATAAATGAGAGGCTGAACTCTCTTTAGCTCCAAAAGAGAAAGGACACTTGCTTCTTCAACCCAAATACAGAATGAGGTGACGATAGTTGTTCAGATCCCCAAATCCAGAGCAGCGGTGATAGGAGCCAGATAAACACTATACATAAATATTATAAAAGGCACCATACCTTAGGTTTCTCTGACTCTTGTAATTAGGCAGGTCCTTTGTGGGGGGGGCCTGGAAGCTATGTATATGTATTATTACAAAAAATACTAGATCATCTCCTCATACCCATACTGCTATGTAAGCTGCTGCATGGACTTCTGGGAGTATTGCTGAAAAAAAACCCATCTGATTCTGCCCTGCTTGCAAACTGTGTTCCTGTTGTTTAGTTGAACCTAAGAAAAACCCAGGCTGAATAAGAGATAAATTATAAAACTCTTAGAAGAAACAAGAGGGGAAAGCTTCATGACATTGGATTTCACAATGATTTCTTGGATATGACACCAAAAGCATAGGTAACAAAGGAAGAAATAGATAAATGGGACTAAATAAAAATTGAAAACTTTTGTATATCAAAAGACACTATCAACAGAATGAAAAGGTAAACCATATAATGAGTTATTTACAAATCATCTGATAAGAAGTTAATATCCAGAATATATAAAGAACTCCTACAACTCAACAACAAAATAAACAACCTGATTTTAAAAATGGGTGAAGGACTTGGATAGATATTCTCAAAAGAAGATATGCAAATGGCCAATAAGCACGTGAAAAGATGCTCAGCATCACTAGCCATTAGGAAAATACAGATCAAAACCACAATGAGACACCATCTCACACCCACATGGAGGACTATTATTTTAAAAACACAGAAAATAACAAGTGTTGGCAAGGATGTAGGGAAATTGAAACCCTTATGCACTGTTGGTGGGAATGTACAAAAGTGCAGCTGGTATGGAAAACAGAATGACAGTTACTCAAAAAGTTAAAATGAGGATGATCCAGCAATTTCACTTTGAAGGATATAGCCAAAAGAATTGAAAGCAGGGTCACCAAGAGATTTATACACTCATGTTCATAGCAGCATTATTCACAATAGCTAAAAATGGAAGCAGTGTCCACAGACAGATAAAAGGATAAACAAAATCTGGTTTATACATACAAAGAAATATTATTCAGCCTTTAAAAAAGGAAGGAGGGGTGGGCCGAGTGGCGCATCAGTTAAGAACTGGCTTGGGACACTAGAGGGCCCCGGTTTGGATCCCACATGAGGGCCAGTGATGCTGCGCCCTCTACAGCTAAGATGGTGAACAACAGCTCAACCTGGAGCTGGGGTGCTGTGAGTTGGCGGCGATGGCGAAGGCTGCAGCCCCTGCAGCAGTGGGCTGCCATGAGCTTCCGTGAGTGGCTGGCAGCCAGCTTGAGTGGCCGGCAGCCGGTGTGGGCTGCCGTGAGCTGCCATGAGCGGACGTCCAATGGCCGGCAAGCGATCTGCCTCACCCGGGAAGGGCGCGATGATGGTGCCAACATGGGACAGTGAAGTGACGTCCTCCACAACTAGATTGAAGAACAAAAAAAAAGGATAGCAACTTGTCTGTTCCCCTTCCCCTGATTCCCCAGCGCTGTTCCCCTCCCTTAATTCCCCAATAAAAATCTTTAAAAAAAAAAAAGGAAGGAAATTGATACATGCTACATGCTACAACATGGATGAACCTTGAAGACATTATGCTAGTGAAATAAGCCTAACACAAAAGGACAAATACTGTATGATCGCGTTTGAAGTACTTTCCACAAATTTATAAAGACAGAAAGCAGAGTGGTGGTTCCCAGGGGCTGGGGAAGGGAGGAATGCAGAGTTATTATTTAATATGTACGGAGTTTCAAACAGTTCTGGATATCGATGGTGGTGATGGTTGCATAACAATGTGAATGTACTTGAATTGTACACTTAAAAATGGTTAAAATGGTAAATTTTATGTTACATATATTTTGCCACAATGAAAAAAAACCAAGAACCTTGGTTGGTACTGAAGTATTCTAATCTTTTTCTTTCTTTTATGCATAGCAGTATATCGAGTACTTCCAGTGAAAGTGTGTTTATGCAGCAGAAAAATATAGATGTTATTCTCTATGTGCAATGTTCCCATGTGTTACAGAAACAGAATAATGGGGACGAAGGGGAGCCAGAAAATAGATACTACAAGTGCAAATACTATAATAATACTCACCTCTAAGCCAGCTGTTTGTGTAGATGGAGTACTTGTTAGCAGGCCTCTGCTTTTCTTATCACGAATACTGGAATTTGTGTTCTACCAGTGTTTTGTGAAAAAGGGGATTGAATAGCAGAAAGAAATAAACTAATACCATAAAACACAATTTAAAATTAGTAGACTAAATCATAATATGTCATACTAATAAATTTTTAATCTGCTAATTAAATTTTAAACCACTAGACAGGTAACTAAAGACTTTTCTGGCTTGAGCTAGGTCAAATAACTCCTAAGAGAACTTTATGTGGCACAACAACTATATAAGAATATTTTGGTTGAAATCACTATTAATTTAGGAAGAAAAGCTAATTAAAGTTTTGAATTAGGAAATGGTGCTTTGATTATCTTTGTCAATTGCTAAGAAAGGTATTTCGCTGACAGCATTTGTTTAATTCCTAGTATATACTGTACTTTAAAAAAAAAAGATTTTATTGGGGAATTGGGGGAGGGGAACAGACAAGTTGCTGTCCTTTTGTTCTTCAGTCTAGTTG